ATTAGTGACTCAAGACGTTCTCTCTGGCAAAGCCATTTTTAATCTTATTGTGAGATTAGTAATTCTACTTGCTGCTAATGATTAACACAAGGCACTACATTTGAGGAACATGTCAGGTACACTGGTATGGAGGGAAAGGGATGTGCTTACCTGGTTTCCATAGTAACTTGGCTCACTCCTTTTAGTGTTTCATAAAAGTGGATAGATCTTAGGCCTGGGTTGCATTGGGATTTTAGCCATCGATATGAATTGTGTCTACAGTAAGGATTTGCACTGGTTCATTAGTGGCAAAAATCCCTGCATAGTCAACACCTTAAATATCTTTACCAAAATCCAAATATCTTTTTCAGTTATTACAAAACTCAGCTCAGATTAACCCAGAAATTCACAATATTTTGTGTTAAGTGGGTCTGTTTTGGTAAACTGGCTAGTTCCCCAAGGTTGCTGGAGAAATTGCCATGTTTCACCTGTTTTTCCAATAGAAGTTTCAGATGTGTATTGCTTTAAACTTTTTGGGGTACCTCATAATAAAGCTCCAGGGACTTGTCTATAACCAGCCAATTTCCTTTAAACTTCCCACCATTGCCAACTGGAGCCAACAATGATGCAAGCTACAGATATGGGGCAGCTCTGCTAGCATTTTAACCCTTGTGGTGTTCAGTCCTACCCTGTGCAGGATTAGGCTAAGGAGTAATAAGAAGGGCAGCAGCTGCTGGCACTTCATCTGCACCCGAACTCCCAAAATTGCTACCAGCGATGGAGATGGGCTAGTGTACCGTAAAGTTGTACGTATAGCGCACACTTTTTTCCCCTTTTTTTACGTCAAAGTCGGGGTGCGCATTATCCATAGGAGGTTTTTTTAAAAAAAGTTTTAAATTCACCCCCAGCAGGCACGAGTTGGGCGGCCAGGGGTTCAGGCACAGGCTGGGCTGGGCTGAGGCGGGGGGGCCGGCAGCTGGGGGGAGGAGATTCCCCCCCCCCCTGGGGAGACCCCCCCTCCCACCGGCAGGCAAGAGCTCAGCGTGCATAAGCTCAGCTGGGCAGGGGGCCCTTCCTTCCTATGCATACCTTAAAATCTTGAGTATAATGGGGGTGCGCATTATAGATAAGAGTTTAGTTTATTCAAGAATTTTAACCTTTAAAAGGCAGATGTGCATTATACTCGAGATTTTATGGTAGATGTAGCTTAGGGATTCAACCCCCCCAAACCAGAGTTTAACACTGTCCCTATGAATGAAATTTCATACATCTCTACTTAGTAACATTCTGTTGCAAAGTTAGGTGGGTAGGGACCTTCCTCACAGCTTTTGCTAGCAAGAATATCTTGTTCCTCTGTGGCATATTTCACTTGAAGATCCCAAAGCAAACTTTAAAGACAATAATATAGATGCTTAGCAACCCTGTGAGGGGTGGAATCTCATAGATGAGAAAAAATAGAAGCAAAGGGGTTACATTGCCCAGGTTCACATAGTGAGTCACTAGCAAAGCTGAGAATAGAAGTCAACCAGAGTAGTCTAACCACGAGACAGCACTGCCACTGGAAAAGACTCCCTACATGCTACGTTGGAAAGAAAACTGTAATAGTACTACTGCTTGTTCAAGAACAGCACATTTCTTCCAAGCATTGAAAACGTATTGCAAAGGTTGTTGTGTAAAACCACGCCAGCTTGGTATCAAGGGAGAGGAAGAAAGGTCTGTATAAACTACAATCTCCTTGAGAACAGCCTTTTTACTTGAAAAGGCCTCATGGGGGAGTGGGGGGGGGGGAAAAGAGAGAAGGGCTATTCCATAGAGAGAGCGCCAGGGTGATGAAATGTTTGATAACGTAAACAAACAGAGCTACAAATCTATTTTAGAATAACAATTTTAAAAGGAGTTCTTCCCTGTTCAGCTTAGGAAGAAAGCAAATTCCCAGGGATAGACGTGATGGAATTTTTAAAAGATATTAACATATTTAAGATTTGCATTGTAAAGTAATCATGCCTACAGTCTTCTCTAACCTCTTATGCTATGGAGAAAGGAAATGGTTCTTAATGAAGCAAGATGAGTTTAAGAATACACGCTGTTACATATTGGTAAAGGAGAAAGAGAGAGTGTTAGAAAAGTGATGATGGCTTCTTCTTTTTCACAATAGCCGTTTCCTGCACATCCCAGTCAGATCTGCTCACTTTGCTGAGACAAAGAAGTGTCCATTCTATTAGCCTCACAGAACCAACTCCACTAGGTGTAGTACATCATCCAATCCAGCAGCATGTTTGCACAGTTTTTATTGCTAATGTACCAAGAAGGAGCACAGCTAGATTTTTACAGATAAATTATGTTTGCACAGTTTTTATTGCTAATGTACCAAGAAGGAGCACAGCTAGATTTTTAAGAACACAGGCTAAGCATGTAGAATTGCCAGTTTAAAAAATGTATCAGTGGAGCAAGTTTAGCTGTGGAATCTTTGAAGTAATATGAGTAAACATGTCATTTTAAGAGAGACTTCTATTACTATAACTGGAGAGACTAAGGAGTGAAAGAACCAAGGAGACTGAACTCCCCTTCCACTCCAAGATCTGGTCTCTCCAGAACAGGTTGGGGCATGTGGGAAGCTACTACCAGTGCTTTCCCTGGTCAGTGGGTAGAGGGTTCCGGAGCTGTCAAGTCAGCACTAAACTCACACAACCATTTTTATAAGAAGCTTTAAAAAAATAAAGAAAAGAGCCAGCCCATCCATTTCAAGCCTCATTAGAAGCACCGCAAGAAAAAAAAAATCAATGTTGGGCAAATAGTAAAGGACAAAATTGGATAAGGAAACACCTTACTGGTTTGAGAAATAATTTTATGACTCAAATAGTAAGTGCTTTGAAATACACCATCGTCTTCTCTACTGGCACCAGCTATTTGTGTGGATGAGAAGCCAGGCAGACAAGCTAATGGAGGGAAGTCTTTGATCCCTGAAGTGGCTTTTCAACTGAAGTTCTGAAAACCCAAGCAATGGAGCTGATCCTCCTGCAGCCCTTGTTCATGCCAATACTCCCACTGATTGCTTAATGAATACATAAGGATTATATATTTGGGCCTATTAGCTAAAGAAGCCTCTCATTAATATATATAAAATCCTACCAGAAAGGGGAATGCTTAATACACATCTTAACCAGTGGACAAAATGGGGGAAAGAGAAGATGCTGGACTTGCACAGATCAAGGTGAAGAGTTGGGAACAGAGCCATGAACAGTCTCTTACTCTAGCCATCAACACTATTTCCCCTCACTAGAGGTTTGCATTTGTGTGTGCTTTGCGGGCAGGCACAGGGCACAGACAGTGAAGACTGGCAGTTCAGTTGGAGGAGACTACCCTACATCCTGTTCAATCTGAGATAGGGCTGTAGAGCTCCTTCTCTCCTTGGCCACGTTGAGCTCACTCCCTCTGCTGAAAAAGCTCAAGAGCTCTTCCTTTCCCCCTCTACCCACCTCAAGTGCTGCCAGTACAGGAGGATGAAAGGGGCTCCAGCGCACCCCTCCCTGTGTTGCCACATGTGTTGTGGGTAAGTGGAAAGAAGGAGCACTGTTCAGCAAACAGATGTTCCATCCTAGCCTGGGAAATTCAGGAGGAACCCAAATATTGAAATTCTGGAAACAGGATAGAAAATTGAACAAATTTAAAACTACCACAGGACCAAAAAAAGTCACTAACAGTTTCAGGTCAGAAATATCCATGAAAAAAAGACAACATTAAAAAAAAAAAATCAAACATTTTGTTATGAATCTTCCCCACCAAAAATTTGGAAAACTAAGCCAAACCCCCACATTTTCCCCATGAAGAATTGAGTTTTCAAGTTCAGCAAAACTAAAGTTTTGTTTGGGGGTGGGTGGGGGGCATCAGCATGAATCTGAGGGAACTCCAGGGTTCACCCTTCCTGAGCTGCTCCACTGCTGTCTGCCAATCTTGGAGAGAGGAGTCCTAAGGCTACCACTTCCCCTGCCACTGTGACTGCTTCTGTCCAGGGAGTGGTGAGAAAGGGAGCTCTGGGTCTCCCTCTTTTCTTGGGAGACTTCATTCATAGTTTTTAAATGTCAGCCCTGGCTGTCATTGATTCTACATGCAGAAAAAAACCTGGCAGGAACACTGATCACCTGTGTGTGTTTGTTTTTTATTTAAAAACCTTATTTTGGTAGAGCATCATGGCTCTTAAGCAGGAACTCCTAATCATGTATTCCTGGATAAAGAGGCAAATTAAAGGTCATTGTTCAACATAGAATTTATACAATTATCTGTAGAGTTGATAAGCTTAGATGATTAAAACAAACTAGATGCAATTTAATTTTTTTCTAACTTTTGTACTTTATTGTGCTTGGACTTTGTGTTCTTTTCTGTTTATAGTCGGCTTCACTTATTTCTCAGCCACTAGCACAAAGCTATTAGATTTGGGGTTCCAACTCTGTGGGGGGAGGGAAGGGTTTAAATTCCTGTTCCCCTTGCAAAAACAAATGCCTAGCATCACTGAAATTCCAGAAATAAAATCTTTGGGCTATGTCTACACAGCAGCGTTATTTCAGAATAACTGACATTATTCCGAAAGAACATAGTCCGTGTCTACACACAAGCAGTTATTTTGACATAATGTTGAAATAATGTTGACGTAGAGGACTGCTTACTCAGACTCCTGTAACCCTCATTCTACGAGGGGTAAGGAAAGTCAGAGGAAGAGTGCACTCTCTCAAAATAACTGCTGTGTAGACAGCGCCAAAAGTCAAAATAAGCTATTTCGACTTAAGCTACACAATTAATGTAGCTCAAGCTGCATAGCTTATTTCAAGTTTAGCCCAGCTGTGTAGACATGCCCCATATTCAGTATGAGATGCTGGATTTGGGGTTTAAACTATTTGACTGTATATTTTTCAGAACAGTGCTGCTAACCCAATCTTTATCTTCCTCTCTCAGACTGAGAGGAGGGGAGGGACTATGAGTTTAACAGCTCCTATTCATTTGTCTCTCTCTCTTCTCATGTTCTGCAGCATGTCTGCTCCAGGCCGAGCTGGTGAATTATGAGCGAGTCAAAGAATATTGCCTCAAAGTGCTTAAGAAAGAAGGCGAGAACTTCAAGGCACTCTATCGATCTGGCGTAGCATTCTACCACCTTGGTGACTTCAACAAGGCACTGGACTACTTGAAAGAAGCAAGGTCCCGACAGCCGACAGGTACTGGTACTAAGGAAAGCCTCAGAAATATCAGTGACAGCCTTTACTCTTCCTTTCATTGAGCCAAATCCATCTCTGGTTTAACTTGTGTTGATTTCACCAGAGATGAATGTTGTGGCCTACTGTGTCTGGTTATATTTCCTTTTGAGGATTCATTGGTAGCACACCAGCTTTGCAGTGACATTGCCTGAAGGTATTAACTTTTGACCACTGCTGAGGCTGCAGCAGAGCCTGGAAGATAGTGGTGCAGGTTGCATCTCCCAGAATGGGAATTCTCTGGTCTAGCAAGACCGTGGATGTTCCTGGATCAGAGACCCTGGTAGCCTAGTGGCAGGATGACAATCCAGGTGGGGCCCGGCTGAAGCAGTGGGAGGGAGCAGGGGCTGGGACTGGTGGCAACCTGCAGCAGTGGAGCTTGAACTGGCAACAGCCCACGGCAGCCTGCGGCACTGGGACCAAGTCATGGCAGCCCACTGTAGCATAGGGCCAGAGCCCTGGACAGCTCACAGAAGCAGGGCCAGAGCTCGCAGAGCTGGGATCAGAGTCTGAACTCTCCGCAGCCCCCAGCAAGCCAACCAGGGCCAGAGCTTGCAGGCTGGTGGAGCCCAGTAAGCAATCCAACCAGGGCAGCAGTAGCAGCGAGGTCAGCAACCCAGCAGGGGCTGGAGGTAGTCCCCTTGTCTCCCACCCCCATCTCTTTGCAGCTGGCAGAGTCAGCAGCTGTGGCAGGGGATCTTCTCTGGTCTGGCAAATTTGCTAGTTTGGGACCAGTCCCAAGGGTGCCAGATAAGGGATGTTCAACTTGTACGGCTGGGATGTACAGGACATTCTAACCTCCTTGCTTGCAGGAAGGGAACCAGGGGGACCCACATCTTACCTCCCCTCCTCTAGCCCTATCTCTGGTAATGATACCAGGCAGACACACTGCATCTTCTCCATAGCAGACTGCCATTTGCAGTTGCGAACATCCACACTTCCATCATCTCAGTGGAGACAGGTGTGTGTCTCTGCCCTGCTAGACAGGCCCCCTTACTTCCCCAAATCACCAGTCCATGTTCTTTAACTTTTACCTTAGACACAGTTAGGTTTCTTGTTCAGGAATCCACCTTTTATTTGTCCAATAACATTTTTGAATTTTCTGCCAACATGATGATTGCACATTCAAACTGGCCTGTAAGATTCTTGGTCCTTGCAGTAATGTACTCCACAGGAGAGGGCAGTAGCTCCACAATTGTGATGTTTACATCCTCCAAACAAAAATAACTGGCTCTTGAACACATGCCCAGGACTGTTCGTTTTAGTAACACAGGGTAGCTTTGTCCTTCTGGCTCTATTATTCATGACTTTCTGGTGCCAGCTTGGACTGCCCTTTGACATAGAAATTTGAAGAATTTATGTCATGTCTTCATGTAGGCCTGGTTATTAAACCCACTAGAGTGAATTTAAAAATAACAATTCAATGAAAATAAGGAGAAAGTTAGAAAGATCCAAGGAAAACACAATGGAAATATTTGCCACACACAGACATAAGCCCATAAGCCCTGAGTGCTTTCTCCAGTGTGAGTATGGAAAGGGAATTGTTCTGCTGAGCCCTAGCAGAATGCTTCAGCTAGTGCTCTCTAAGCAGAAGGTGGAGATGAGAGGCTGGCTAGCCCAGCTGCCAGTGATTGATGCCCCAGAGGAATTGGATCCTTACTCTAGCTGGACATGGTCACCGCAGAGGCATAGTGAGGCATTCTGCTTCCATCTGCCATGTATGGACAGAATGCCTCAAGCCTTTGGCCGAACAGCTGTGTGTGGTCCCCTGGCTCAGTTAAATGTACTTAAAGGCATGGTTTAGCTCAGTGTTTCTCAACCAGTGGTACAAGTACCCTTAGTGGTACTTGAGAGAAGTCTGGGGGGGGGGGATGAAATTTGGAGAAAATGGAATTTGTTTCAAGTTTTGCAGTGCTTTATTATTTTTGTACTTTTTACACTCAAATTTCATTGCCCACCTGGCTATGATTAAGTTGTTTAAACAAATGTGCTGTAATGGCAGAAAAAAAAAAAAAAACCTGTGTGTCTGAAAACTGTAGGTACCGGGGGTATTTTTTTTATTTTTGAAAAAGGGGTACAGTAAAACTCCAATAGTCCGGCATCCAATTGTATGGCACTCCCGATAGTCCGGCATCAAAATGGTAAGAGCTTAGTGAGTGAGCTTCAGCAAAAAACAAGTCACAAGGCAGTAGCGGCAGCAGCTGAACCAAGCGAAACCAGACAGGACCGAGTCAGTCTGCCACTGGCATTGTGTGATGCGTCCGACATATCCAATAAAAAAGGGTTTAAAACACGTGTGTGTGTGTGTAAAAAACCAACTTATAGTACCTCCTGATAGTCCGACATATCCGATAATCCAGCACTATCTAGGTCCCAAAGGTTCCCGATTATTAGAAGTCTACTGTACTTTATAAAAAAAAAAGGTTGTGAAACACTGATTTAGCTCATCAAATGTACGATCTTCTCTTCGTCCTTTCAATTCCAGCTGGAGCCAGGAAGTGCAGAGATTAATCCAAACTTAAAAAAAAAAATAGGGTGGGCGGTGTCATAAAAGCTATCCTACTCTTGGTTTTTAGGATCAGAGTAGTTTCAAGTTTTAGCCAAACTTTCCAATCTGTCCTTATTTTCTTTGAATTGGCTTTTCCCTAGTTTTACTGCATGCGTTTACGCTATTTATTCCTTGCAATATTACATGGTCTGGTTGCTCTCATCTCTTTAGAAAATAAATACTGAAGTAGTCAACAGCAGGGAATGACCCAAAGGCCCCTAATTCCCAAGAAGGACAGCTCTGAATCTGCACTCTGCCTCATGGAGCCCTCTCTAGGATTATCTACAATACCATGGCGTTTCAGGCGGTTATTCTGTTGTATTAATGCCTGTTTATTAAAAGTTCAGGGATGCAGAAGGGGAAAGGGAAGTAATCCAGAGCATACATAGAAAGGAGGGAGGATGGCATTGTTAAAGCACAGTAATAGGAGTCCGATGACTGCTGTGCTAATCCTGACTCTGCTACAGTCTTAGGCTGTGTCTACACTGGCGCAATCTTGCGCAAGAGTAGTCGCTCTTGCGCAAAAACTTGCTGCCTGTCTACACTGACCATGTGTTCTTGCACAAGTAAACGGATGTTCTAATGTATGAAATCAGGGCTTCTTGCACCAGAACTCTGACGCTCCCGCTCAGGAATAAGCCCTTTTGCACAACTGTTCTTGTGCAAGAGGCCAGTGTAGACAGGCAACATGAATTTCTTGCGCAAGAAAGCCCTATGGCTAAAATGCCCATCAGAGCTTTCTTGCGCAAAAGAGCGTCTACACTGGCATGGATGCTCTTGCGCAAAAGCACATTTCTTGCGGAAAAGCATGTGCCAATGTAGACGCTTTCTTCTGGAAGAGTTTTTGCACAAGAATGTGCCTATGTAGACGCTTTCTTCTGGAAGAGTTTTTGCACAAGAACTCTTCCGCAAAAGAGTTTTTGCGAGAACATTCCAATGTAGACGTAGCCTCACTATGTGATCTTGGATAAGTCACTTAATGTCTTGTCTGAGTTTCCCTGTCTGCGAAGTGGAGATAAGCATCCCTTCCCTACCTTTTAAGGTCAATTCCTTAATGGTCGTACTGTGCCTCGAGTATTAGCATGAACTTGTCCTGTGCAATGTAGTTCTCTAATAAGGGGTGATTTAGAGATAAATCAATGGAAAAAACTACTCTTCCCTGATGGAGGGACTTTTTAAATGGAAAGCAGGAATTCAGTGACAACAGGGGGATTTCGTTGTTCCAAAGGGCAGTTAGTACAGCAAATCCTTTAAGGCTATTTATTCCCCATCAAAGGTTAGCAGAGCTGGGATTGGCTTTTCCTCTACGTTCCCACTGAAATCACTAACAGACCTGAAAAGAATACAATAAAATGTGTAACTCCCCTCACTAGGAGACAATTTGGAAAAGGAAAGGAGAACGTACTTTAATTATGTAAACTTATCTGCAGCTTTTCATAAACTCTGAGCAGCGTCTGGTAAAAGCACAGAGTTCAAACTGGTTTGAAACTAGAAGCAGCCGAATACCTGTCTGTCTTACAAGTCTTTGTTTTCAGAGGAGTCTTGGCCTTAATTATACATATTGTTCAACCTCTTCCTATTCATAGCTCTTTCTAGTAATGGCATACAGCAATTGGAGTAAAGAAGGAACTTGAGTTGACCTTCTGGTCACATAGAACACCAACAGTTAGAAGGGGGTGGGCCTATGTAGCCTATTTTGTTTTGCAGCAGAGAAATACCAAGCCTGGGAATAAAACCCAGTTTTCCAATAGAGTAGAGTAGCACCCTGTGACGGCGCGTTGGGGTTTTCCCATCTCCTGCACCCCCATAGTGACACAAACAAACTCCACCAGCCAGTAGAATAGAGGGCGT